TCCACCCTGACGCTGGGCCAGGTCATCAAGGCCACATACGAGGCACGGGACGCCCACTGGGTCCCGACCGGAAACCTCTCGGCGCCGACCAGGGAGCGCCCGCAGGCGTCGCCTGCCAAGCCGGCAGCAAGGGGGGGCAAACCCCCGCTGGCAAAGCCGATCGCAGGGAGAGCGGTCGCACGCGCCATGAGAGATGGCACCGTGCTCTGCCAGGCTTTCCAACATGGGCAATGCAAGGCGGGGCAGTCATGCCCCAACGGCCAGCACAGGTGCGCTGCGATCCTCAGGGGCGACCGAGTCTGCGGGATGCAGAATCACGGAGCCAAGGAGTGTCGGGCAGCGAAGAAGTCTTGAGGGTGCCCTGGGGGGGAGAGGGACTCCCCCATAGGGTCAGAACTCTCGCACCCCCACACCGGAGCCCAGGAGGGCGGCCCGTTGATGGTCGACCTCATGTGTGGTCCCAACATGCCCCTGGCGAAGGCGTTTCTGTTTTGTGGCTGGAGGGTGCTGCCCATCGACTGGTCGCTGGACCCGGGGCACGACCTGTCTAACCCGGTGAGGCAACAAGCACTGGAGGCGCCGATGCGGTCAGCAGCCTTCACAGCAGCAGCTCTGGACTGCTCCACGAAATCCAGGGCCAGAGAGATCCCCAGAATCTTTGCGGACGGCCGCCCAGGTCCCAAACCGCTGCGTTCTGAGGCACACCCAGAAGGTTTGCCCGGGCTTGACCCCAAGAACCAAAGGCGGGTGGACGTGGACAATGCGGCATGCTCCTGGATCCTGAAGCAGCTCCAGGCTATAGCAGACGATGGCAGAGGGGCCCTGCGGGAGAACCCGGCTCGAAGCCTCCATTGGTCCCTCCCGCAGGAGGAGACCATGATGGAGTCCGGCCTCTGGTACGATACAACGTACTCGGCATGCGTTTTCATGTCAGCGCGTTGCAAACACCAGCGGCTGCGGCACAACATCCATGAGATCGAGCTGATCCACCCCCGCGAGTGCCACCATCAGCATGCAGCCTGGGAGTGGGATCCTTGGGAGGACACCCAGGGAGACACCAGTTCCCATCCAAGGAGGAGGCGGAGTATTCGGCCACCCTGGCCTTCGCCATTGCGGTATCGGTCAGTTGGTGGGCGGTCCGAGAAGGGCATGCCCGACTCCACGTGCCTCGGATGCCGCCGCTGGAGGCGTGTGGCCGACGGCAACACTGGCTGGACATCGATCCCAGAGCTATGCGTAGCTGGGCCATGACTCCGCTGGCCATCACACTCGGGTTGCCACCACTGCATCCCGAGAAGCGGGCACGGCTGCTCACGGTGGTACGAGTGGCGGACGTACTTGCCGATGGTAAGCTGCCTCCGGACGTGGTTTACGTGGGTCAGGGCCACCACTCCCACCGGGTCCCACGGTCTCAGTGGGCATCACCGTTCGTGCAGGGGCACACCTGTACGACGGACGACTGGCTGCCGCTCTACGTGGACTTCGTCCTCGCCAATTTGCAGGCGGAGCTGCCTGCGCTGCCAGGCAAACGGCTGGCATGCGATTGCGGCCCGGACGGTGTCTGCGAGGCAGATGCGCTGGCTGGGATGGTCTTTGATGCGACCCATCCGGATGCCGAGGCTAGCCTGCCCAGAGTCACTGGGAGGCGGCACAGGCAGGCCAGGGGCTCTGTGGTCAGGGCGGCGACCATCATGGGATCGCTCCGAGGCAGTGACGCTCTGCAGTCGATGTCACTCTGGTTTCCGCAGGAGGACGTAATCTTGGCCTTTCGCAAGCTCTACCCGGCAGAGTGGTTCCAATCTTTTCAGTGGCCCATGTTGGAGGACCTGTTGAACAAGGAACCCTTTACGTGCTACTTGGACTGGCGCCAGAGCCGCGGGATGGAGTGGGACGGACCCCTGGGGCCGCCCTCTTCGTCCAACGCTAGTCGGAGGCGGCAGCGGTTGGCAGAGGGGAAGCAGCATGGAGCCTACAACCACAAGGCCTCCATTCCACCTCTGGTAGGATATGGGCTGGAGCCGGACGCCCATTTCGCCGCATCCCTGCAGTGGACCCACACGGCAACCCCGTTGGAAGTCCCTCCTACGTTGGACGACGACCTGTGGTACGCGGCCAGCATGGTGATGGAGAATCACGACCTAAAGAGTCGCCGCCAGGCGTCCATCGGGGCCATCAAGGAGCTGAAGCGCAGGTGGGCGCCGGTGTCCAAGCACCTCGTGGCCTTCCAGTCCGAAGCCATCCGAGGAGTTACCTCGAAACGCGATCTGGGTTTGCTGGGGCTCTTCGTCGTCCTCATGCAGTGGGGCGACTTCGCCCTCCCTCACGGCTTCATCAAAGGCCTTCCAGCAGTGGGCTATGCCCCTCATTACGGAGTCTTCCCCCACCAGCCCGTCGAGGCGATCGCCCACTCGGAGGTACTGGCTGGTTGGGAGGAACACAACGCCGCCACCATCGCAGGAGTGCGGCCGGGTTCCACGGACTCCTTCGTTCTTGAGCAGTCCACAAAGGATCACAAGGACAGGTTTTGCACCCCCCCGATGAACCTGAGCCAGCTCAAGCGGTATGCCAAAGGAGACCCATACCGGCTCATACCTCGCTGTGTCATCACACAGGCGTCTGGCAAGCAGCGTCTGATAGACGACGCAGCACGGGGCGGGCAGTCTGCATCGTCCAGAGATGCCAACAAACTTGTTTTGTGTACGCCGCTCCGCCCAGCGCTCCACGTCCAAGCCGCGGCAGCCTGCCTTCAGGAGTGCACCTGGGAGCGGTTCGCGCAGCAGGGGCAGTGGACGGGAGCTGGAGATGATTGGCCGAATGCCTACCGCCACTGTCCTATGTCACGACAGGAGGCCCTGGCCTGCGTAGTAGTTTGGTACCACCAAGAATGGCAGGAGCCGGCCTTCCAGGTGTACCACGCCCTCTTGTTCGGCCTTCCGTTGGCGGTCACCTCCTTCAACCGCTACTCCCGGATGGCAGAAGCTATGGGCAGGCGTTTTCTGGCAATTATGGTGTCCATGTATTTCGACGACAGTCACATCACGGACCGCGCAGTACACGGCCCATCAGCCCAGTGGAGTTTTGGTGCCCTCAACGACCTGCTGGGCACCCCATTTGCTGAGGAGAAGCGCCAGGGAGCTGCGGATGTCGGTACCTTCTTGGGGCTTGATTTCGATCTCTCGGAGGTCCACACACATGGGCGCGCGCGGTTTTGGGTTCGAGAGCGACTCGAACAGAAGGTGCTCACCTTCATGCGCGAAGCCAGGAAGAGCGGGAAGTTCACCCCGGGTCAAGCCGCGAAACTCTACGGCATGGTCAACTTCCTGGAGCATGGCCTCTTCGGGCGCATTGGCTTGGGCGAAATCCAGGCGTTGAAGGAGCACCAGTACGGGGGCTCCAGCAGAGCCAACGCCAGCCTCCTGGCGGCTTTTGACGTGTTGGAGGCTATCATCAGTATGCGCCCCAGGAGAGAGCTGATGGTCCTCCCCATGGATGTGCCAAGGGTGGTGGCTGCCTCGGATGCGGCTTTGGAGGCACCTCGTCAAGGATCCGGCGGATACCACTTGGTCTTCCAGGACGGTGGCGTGCAGATTCGGGAGGCCTTTGTGGCCATCATCCCCACGCAGACCTATGACATGTGGGGACCAGGAGACCATAAAATAGCCCAGTTGGAGCTTTTCATGGTGGTGCACGCCCTTACGGCGAGACCCGACCAATTCCGCGGGAGACGCGGAGTGTGGTTCATCGACAACATCGCCAGTCTTATGTGTTTGATCAGGGGCAGGAGTGACAACCCCGACTTGGCCAAGATGGCGACGTATATTCAGTGTTTGCTTTTTGCGTTGCGAGCCTCACTTTACTGGGAATACATTCCATCCAAATCCAATTGGGCCGACGCGATCAGCCGATTAGGACCCAGTGACCCATGGTACAGGGCCAACCACTTCAAGTTGAATTTCAGTCTTTTCCCTCCAGCTCTACTGAGGCTTCCGTACCGAGCAGTGATTACCTTTGCTGAGTTCCTGTGAGTGCATTGGGAGAGTTGTGAAAGAGGTTGTGAAAGTAAGTGCGTTGGGAGATGTATCCTGCTTGATGCAGGGCATCCAGAGCTTATCGGGGGTAAACCCGATGTGCCGAGGAAATCGGCGAATTGACTGGGCCACAGCATGAGGAAATTCATGCTGTGGATACCAATGCAAATCCCACAGGAAAAGGTGGGTTGTCAGGCTATCAGACTCGTAGCGCATCGCTGGAGTGAAAATGCTGCGGTGCTGTTTATGTCAAACCTCCTTGGGAATGTAATCCTGTATCAGGTTGGAAGGCTTGGGTTTACAGGCTTCATTCTGCAAGGAGTGTATTGGATCATGCGGGGCCTTTTGGCTCAAGCATGATCCAAACTGGCTAAATTTTAACCCCACCCTATCCCGCCCTAGGTCACCGGCCCCCCTAGTTGGGACGTCCGTGATCTTTGAAGAGCGCGCCGCGCTTGGGGAATGCCTGGGGGACCAGGCCCCCAGTCAGTCAGTTAGCTCTGTGGTGGGAGATGTATCCTGCTTGATGCAGGGCATCCAGAGCTTATCGGGGGTAAACCCCTCCCTTGTTGCAGGGATCATAGGATAACTACTTGAAAGGGGTCTCCAAACAAATGTGCGTCTTTAATTGCCATGCTTCTTTGTAAGGTTTGAATGCTCGACCCTCAATTTTAGAGATACCATTTTGCCATTCGACGCATGACCTTGCCCACCACACCAAACATATAAGCAGCATAGGTTTACTATCTATATATACACATACATATATACACATGAACACTTTTTTTTGGGACACACACACACACACTTTTTTTGGGGGGGAGGGGGGGAGAAAGCGTTCGGAGCGCCTCCTCGCGACCCTTGCTGCCCCTGTCAGGCTCACCAACTTCGCCCCCCCAAAAACGCGCGCGACGGAAGCCATGCGGCCGTGGGGGACCGGTGCGCTCACCGTGCGCTCGCCGTGGGCCGCAGGCGCTTGGAGCAGGCCTTCCAGATGGTGCACAGCTTCACAGAGCAGTACGGCTTCAGGGCCAACATCCAGGCGAGATGTTTCTGTGAAATGTTTGCAGGTGATATATGCATTTACTCTCATCTAGAATCTAGCCTCATGAAGACTTCCCCCCTGTTTTGCCCGGAGGGTCCAAAAAGTTGGTATTTGCCAGTGCAGTGGAGCACAATAGCCGCGAGGCACAGCTGAAACAAGTTCATCACACACCAACACCAACACTTCATGGATCACCTGATCGCTTGTTTCCACCTCAGCTGCCGGAAGATATTCCTCCTCTCCAGGAGCTTTGCTTGTCAACCAGAGCTTGGGCTTCTTGGCAAACCTCCCGGATCCGAAAAATCGAAGAACAAACAAAAAGAAAAAACGAAAGCCACAAAAATGCCGTCGATTCGACGCGGCCGAGCGTCAGGTCTACACCTGCCTCATGCAGGCCTGCTTCCACAACCGCCAGGGCCAGCGCGCGGTGGCGCTGCACGATCAGGCGCGTCTCGGTCGGGGCGACGGAGTCGGAGGACTGCAGGGGCCCTCACCGGCCGTGAACATGTGCACAGGGAACCACTCTGGAAATTGGTTGGCACATAGTTGGCGGACAGAAATCCCGAAATACCAGAAAGTGGCTATCCGGGTTCTCGGACTTACTGTTGGCGGTTTCCCGTCAAGCACCCGTGAGGGTAAGGATGCTCTACCAAATGAAGGGCGCCTGGTGTGGGATGGGCCACGTTTCTCGCCCAACAAGTTGTTGGGCATGCTGATGCTGCGGGCAAGGTGATGAATGTCCAATGTCCTTTTGCAAGTATGCAACCCCTGAAATCAGTGAGTCACTGTTAACTGTCTATATATATATATATATATATATTATGTGTATCACATCGGGAAGGTGCCGCAACATGCTCGAGAGTCGGCGACCTTTTCCTGGCCGCCATCTTTGTGCGTTGGCTTCGACGTGTCAGGCAAACAGGTTAAGATGCTGAGGGAAGTGGTCCGAGTTTACTCCAAATATAACCACGGTTCTCGGCGCCGGTGGTAACCTGCTTGCCTGACCTTGGAACAGTCAAACAGTCAGGTGGTCAAGGAAGGCGGCTGCATGCCTGATGAGAAGACCTATACTGCCCGGGCTCCCGAGTCGATTGAAAGCCTGGCGTCATGCCCAAACAAGTCCCAGCAATTCCATGTCCCTTGTGGCGAAAACACCTGTTACAGTTCCTTTAAAGACCAAAAGGAAAGGGTTGGTTGCCGAGCATAGAAATGTGCGATAGACGGGATGGGTTCCCTTGATTTTCTTTCGATCAAAAAGGATAGTTGATGTCTACTTAAACTTGTTCGGGTATGATGTGAACTGACCAAGTGACCTGGAAAATCCATATTTTCCAAAAGCCAGCCTGCAAGACATGGGTCCTTGTGTATTTGAGTGGGGAAACCATGGTTGAAACCATGGTTGGTTGGTATTTACGTAGGGGAATCGACTCCGAATCCGTTGGGTTTCTGAACGGTGCGAGCGGATGTCGCAACTCCATCCCCATGAATTACTTGTTGCCCTTCAGCCCTGGAGGAGATTTGAAGGTACAAGCTGTTGCGTCGCGGTGGTGGATCGATCCCCTCGCTGAAATGCAAAGCGAGTCAATTGAATCTAAGCTTGAGGTTTTCCATGCTTGGTTCCCAACACAATAGCTGTTCTGTTCTTTTTGGTTGACTCGGCTTGGCAGGCTAATATTTAGTTTCTCTTTGGGGTAAGAACATGGAAGTCAGCTGTCAAATACAGGGGTCCTTTGGCAAAGAAGATTCTTGGGCTCTTTCTTAAATGTATCCCCAGAACTGGCCGTCCAACGACCTTTGGCGACACCGGCTCCAACGCACCCCTGGTCCAGGAGTTGGAGGTGCCAACCCGGTGTTGAACCATGAAGCGCGCTTCTTTTCCGCATAGGCTTCATGGTCTGGTAATTCGGTCGATCAACGTTGGGTTACATCTTACATATTTGCCCTTTAGAATGATGATACTAAAGTCAACTCGCAGGCTCAGGGTTGAACATTGCCCAAGGAGGCTTCTTGGTTTGGTTGGTTGGTTGGTTGGTTGGTTGGTTGGTTGGTTGGTTGGTTGGCTGGCTGGCTGGCTGGTTGGTTGGTTGGTTGGTTGGTTGGTTGGACCTGCGTCCGAGGGTCCAAGCTATTTTCCCCAACGCCTGCTGCGGAGGTCATGGTCCGCGGATGCCTCCAGGGAGGTTTGGTGGACAAGGCCCTGCAGGTTGCGCGCTGCGCATTCCACCTGCCGCTGGGCAGAAATGCCCGAAAAGAAAGTGAGGTTGGTGGAAAGGGGGATTATAGGGAACCCATCCATTTGAGGGGTTCCTCTATAGGAAGACAAGCCCAAATGAGGATGTTGTGTGTTGCTAGTACCGCAGCTCCGGGTGCAAGGGGTCGTTCCGTGCCGTTGTTCGGGTGTTCGCTGTCCTGCAACTGTGGGTTTTGCCGTGAGGAGGGCTCGAGGCATGTCAGATGGCCTCTCAGAGTCATCGTGTATTAGTGAGGGGTGCGATCCCTTTGTAAGAAGATACCACCCCAAAATGTCTTCCTTTGAATGTCATCCCTTTGTACCCAGAAATGTCTCATAGCTTGGTTCAAATTTAAATGGCAACCGGTAAGGAGCCAAGACCGGAGTTTCCTGAAATTCTAGGGGACACTTCCCTATTCTTTCCAGGGATCCTTCTTTCCCAAACACCATCAGAACCCCAGGCGAAACAGATCCGGTTTTTGAAAAGCACGATGGTAGAAAAGAATGGAAAAGGAATCAACTCCTAGGAAAGCTTGGCTTCCGTTGAACCCCCCTGACCCCGCCAAAACGCAAGGGGCCACGCAAGTTCACCGCGGCCTAACACCCGAACTTTGGGTCATGTCCGTTTTGGCTTGCCTTCCCGGCCCAGCTTCGTTTGGAAGACGGTGGCATCTAGGTCCCCCAGCTAGGTGCCCTGAAAGCCGTTTCTTTTTTGGGGGAGGGTTCCCCTACTAAATTAGACTACAGAAAAAAGCACCCTTGTTCTAACCTCTCTACTGGAGGACCACACCAGCAACGGCTTTCCATGCACTAAGCCTGGGCGTTTGCTCACTGTCAGGAACTGCAGACCGAATTGCCGCCTGATGGGGGGGCGAATGGGAGCAAGCTGTTTGGCTTGGCCCCTCCTGCCTTTTCGGGCTATCCTCAATCTTCTCGGCCCGAATCGGAGAAAAGGCAACAAGCAACACATGGGCAGACGAAGGTTTGGGCCCAAGAATGAGTGGGGCCTTCCGCTCGTGAAGACCCCGGATTTGAATTGTGCCTCAGGTGGCCCAATTTCAGCCTATTGTGGACCCTATTCAAATAAACATGATTTTTCCCACCAGCACCCCCCCAATCACTGCCTTTTGGACAGTACTTGCGATTTTGGACATAGGAAAATGTAGCTGGTGGTGGCAGACTCTAAATCTTCCAACTTCCGTCGGGTAAGCGAATGGGGGTTTCTTTATTTTAGGGTATACTTTTTTTGGTGGTTTTAAAGGTCAACTCGTCCGTCCCAGGCCGGGCCACGACATGCGGCAGACCTGCGTGATGCAAGGGGTGGGGGGCTGAGAGCCTTGCGCCGCGGAGGGTGAGCTGGGAGTCTGGGAGTGCCGCTTTTGAGAAAACGGTGGCTGGCAAAGGGACACCAAAAGGACACCGAAGGGCCAGCCCAATTTTCTTACGAGCTCATACTTGGCCAAGGCTTTTTTTGGGGGTCCAAATCCTTGAATCCAGCTGACAAGCTGGGGCGAGCTAGCAATTCGGGGGAAGGTACAAAGCCTGCGAACAGATGGGGAGAGTGAAGAACCCAAACCTGCAACCCTTGGCATTTCCGCACATTTCAACGAGCATGGCAACTGCTGGTTTGAGCTGCTGCTTTTGGAGGGTAGCAAAAGAAATGAACAACACAGAGTTATATAAGTTGATAAACCAGGAGGTCAAGGGCACAACGGGCTGCAGGGGTTCCTGATTGTGCTCCAGGGGCCTTTTTGTAGGATCATTTGGGCGTCCCGGGCCCTCTTGGACGTGGGAACACATATCAAAGTCAGTTCCGCTCAAGGGCCGACTTTGAGAAGGGCAAAATCAAAAGAGCATGTTTTCAGAAGCCCCTCTAGACCCCTTTGTTGCTCAACGACCCATCTTTTCAGAAACCAGCAACCAGGGGGAACATCAGTTGTTTCAAGAACGATGCTTGGACAGAATGAGGAATCAAGCTCTAGAACCCTCTCAAAAAGACAACTGTTGATGAGTACTGTTGCGCCCCTGGCCAACTGCACAATTCCCTATGGACGCGAATTTATCATTTTTGGATGAGCTTAGGTTGATATTGCTTTGCGCGAGCAACTTGTCCAGTTGACTACCCTCCAGACTAACATGGACGCTCCCACCCTTTAAGACTTGGTTCCGTTTCTAGGGGCCTTTTGGGAGTTTCCATAGAGGGAGTGTACAGATGTTGGGCTTCCCAAAAGGGGTTCTAATCAAAGGGCAGCAATCCCGCTTGAAGTGCTCCCGCTGAAGTGCTCCCACTGCTTGGGTGCAAGGTATCCCAAGCTGAACTCTTGGCCGTGAAAGGAACAACCCCTTCAAGGTCTCACCACAAATCCTAGGCTCATATTTTCTTTCTTTCTTTCTTTTCCTTCCTTCCTTCCTTCCTTTCTTTTCTTTCTTTCTTCCTTTCTTCCTTTCTTTTCTTTTCTTTTCTTTTCTTTCCTTTCTTTTGGACAAAGTTTTCCTTGAAAGTGAACCACACCAAGCAAGCCGGGCGCCCGGTGTTTGTATTTTCCCCCGGCCAACGGAGATCTAGTTGCACGCCGAACCGTTCGGCAGCTTCCGGCTCGCTTGTCTCTCTCGCGTGCTTAGGTGGAGATGGGCTGCCTTGAGGCGGGGCCGGGAAGCCGTCAGGTTGGTTGTTCGCATTGGGGATTTGAACCCCTGGTTCTTGAGGAGATCAAAAGAGCCCTCCCTTAACCACCAAACCACCAATCCAAACCACCAAGTAGAGGGAAGCTGACAAAAGGCACAGAAGGCTTCCCGGCAAAACATAAACTAACAGGCGACGTATTGTGACTCGGCGTTTGCGACATTCGTAAAGGTTTTGTTTGGTTCATAGTATATAGGAATCCCAGATTCTTGGTTGGTGAATTTAGCCACTGGGCTCAAACCGGCCAGTGTCCGGTAGTTCTATGGGAGAGAGCGGTCTCCGCGTTTCAGCCGTTGGCGAATTATGATTCATGATTTGAACCAGAAGGGATGGTTGCAGAATGGCTTTAACGTGCGGATCGCGTTAAATAGTTGTTTGAATATGTTTAAAGAAGTGCCGGGTGGTAACCAAACGAATCAAAGGGCACTCTTTTCAGCCCATTTAATTTCAGAGACTGCTCCCCTAGGTGAAGGTTCTCCCTCCAAAAGACACCCCCTATCGGTTTATGAATTCATTGGAGTGATCCAACTTAATCTTTGGCGGAACCAACCAATGGATGTTTTGGGTGGGGAGGCACTTTCGAGGTGGTTCCAACTCTTATTTTCAATCTTCATACTCAAATGTCTATTCTTTGTAGTAGAGTTCTACTTGCCTTTTCTATCTTAGATGTGTTTGTCTGCTTAGACAACTCAATATATGTCTGTCTTGTCTATTATCTATTTCTCGTTCATGGGATTTTCAGTCAAATCTCATTCATACTGTGGATGGACGAACTCCTGCACCAAGAAACCCTGGTTTCTGATGATTCCCCGGTAAATACCAACAAATGCCGGTTTCATCCATGGTGTCCATGTGGTGCGAAACGAAACGGATTTCGCAACCATCGACGGTGTCTGTTCTTGAGTCTCCTGTTCCTTGCGCCAAGCCCTGGCCAGGAGCTCCTGGGGTCCGTGTCAGCAGAGAAGCGTGAGGCCTTGACCAAGGACTGGGACGCGTCTTTTGGCCCGTGGCCGGGGGTTCCCTAGCCGAAGGTCAAAACAGGGACGCTCGTGATTCGGAGGCTGGTTGTTTTCGCCTTTTGGTGGTGTTATATGGGTGTGCGTTTGTAAAGGTAGCCATTTTTAAAGAACACCAACAGGAAACCAGCATTTTGAGGGGTCCCCTAAAAAGCAAAAACAACAACGAATAAAACACTCATAATTAAGCATGACCTCAAAAGCTCAAAAAGCGATCATTTTGTGTGAGTCGTTTGGTTTTCCCGCCGGGGAACGGAATCCTGTTTGTTTGCAGTTTCTTGGGGGGGGGGGAATTGCCTGAGGCACTTCTTGAAGGGTGTGTTTTGGCTGCGGGTTTTTCACTAGGCTCACTGCTTCCTGGACTTTAATCTTTCTGGGAAGACCATTATAGTGGTAAACAACAAAATCAAACTTTCTTTGGCCAATCCACTCAGGAAGTGAGTAGGTGATGAACCCCGCTGGTCCGACCTATTCGGGAAAATTGCTTTGCACAGTGCCAGGTTCTTTGGAACATCCTTGGAGTCGCCTTAGGCTTCAGCTTTTTGGGTCCTGTGCTAAAAAAGGTGCCATCCCTTTTTGGATGTTTGTCAAAGCCAAAGCCTCAGTTGATCAAGAGAAACCTGAGGGTCCTTATCCTTCAGCAAGTTCCTTTGAGCCAAAGGGTTGTATTTTTTTCTGGGGCAGCCTGTGGATTCTTTACTTTTGAATGGGTTTTGAAAGGGAAACAGAAAACCGTTGCCACTTTGGATGTCCAAATCTCCGAAATACCCAGAATATCTTTCTCAAAGGTCCCTTACCTATCAAGGTGCTTGATTCCCCTGCTGTCAATACATGGCGTCCCCAAGGCACAAGGCCTTTGGACAAGCGCTTCAGGGGTTGACGGTAAGTGCCTGGCAACTATTTTCAATCGTTTGAGGGCCTAGATGCTCCCCTGCAAATTGACATGGACCCCGAAAACCAACATTTTGGGAGGAGTTCTCAAAGAGTCGGGGAATCGCTTCTTGGGTTCCATATTGATCTGCAGGTAATTAGAGCGCGGCTGCATGGTATCCATAACCCAAATTACCTCATAATCTTGAGAATAATGCGTGTAATTTATCCACTTGGGTCAGTCAGAAAAGCATGCCCCTCCCGGAACAGTGGAGTCATCATATGGTCAAGGCTATCCTGAAACTGGCTGGTTTCATGATGGTTGCCTCTCAATATCTTTTCCGAAAGGATAAAGGACCTAATTTGTTTCGTAGCAAGATGTAGTGATTCTCGAAGGCAAAGTGCAGGTGACTTTTAGTTTCAATTGACACCAACAGACAAGCAGGGGTCCAGCTCCCGTGTTTTTTTGTTAAGGACTAAGCAACAAGTTGGGCGACGTTGGTCGCTCGTGTGGGGGAGCTTCTCTAGTCAAGCTCACCGCATTTGCTGCGCCCTCCACTTGCAGGAGCTTCAAGAGCAAGGAATCTCGTGCCCTTCGCAGGCCCTCGTTGCTGTGGGATGGGTGGAGCATCCCAGACCTCCAGTGATCATTCAACTAGGTCCCCCAGCCAGGTGCCCCTTCTCACCCCTTTTTTGGTTGGGAGGGGAAACCCTATTAAAACAGACTACAGAAAAAAGAAACGGTACCCTTATTCTAACCTCTCTACTGGAGGGCCTAGTCAAGTTGTTTGCTTGTTTCTTCTTTTTAGGGCAAGCAAACGCCCCTTTCGAATCAACTGTCACCCAAAAACCGTGTTGTCATTTTAAGTCCTTTCCCTGGGCTTCCCTTCTGCATTACTCTTTGCCCTGATTAACCACTAGTACCAAGGGAGCCACAAGACAAAAGGGCACTCGACTCCTTCCCTGCCTGATCCCTGGTACCTACCATACGCTTCTGTTATGCCTACTGCAATTCAAGCTGTTCTTCCTTCATTATTTTGTGAGAACGGGATAATTCATGTTCGCAATAACGAAGGAATCTGCAGGATGGGCTTTGAGAAATAGCATCTGGAAGACTCAGGTATTTGCCTTGCGCTCGTTCGATCTCGCAGCCGGGATGTGATGTCCGAAGGTGCAAGCAAGTCGCCGGTTGGAGCCGTTGGAGCCAACTGAATTGTCCTCTTCCACTTTTTGCCAATTCAATTTGACCCCTCCCGTATGTGCCCAAGGGGTGCCTGAACTCGAAGGCTCCCTTGGTGCTTGTTACCTTTCAACCCGTCTAAAAGCATCAAAATGGGCAAAGCCAAAATGGGCAAAGCCAGCAGACGGTGTTTTTTCTCGCAGTTTCCTTTTCACAATGATGAGAGGAGTGAGAGGAGTACAATCAAGAAGAATCATACACACAAATTGACGTAGGCATCCGGGTAAATGAGAAGATGCCGCAGACATTGACCTAGACATCCGATCCTGCGAGTCCAGACAAAATCATCCTGATGCAGGCCAAGGCCTTGCCCGGCCTTAGCAGGAGTACGTTCCTCATTGGGGGCATGATTTTTCTTTTGGGACCCTCCGGTGAACATCATGTAGGTGGGGAGTTTATATCCACCAACCACTTTCTGCAGGTTCCTTATTTCAGTTCATGGCCATGGAGTTCTGCTTTGAAAACCAGTCACAAGGGAACACAGCTGGCTTATGAAGCGAGTCCCTAGCCCTTTTGGGCATTTTGCTTGGATGTGAGGACTTCAACTTTTTGCCTACTGATGGGTTTTTCCATGAAACCACTAACAGTTAAACTTTTAGCAGGAGAGCAGAAAGCAACCGAGAACCCTTGGCGTCTTGGAGTCAATGGGGGGGGGTCGTCGGAAGGCGTTTCTCCAAAACGTTTCGGGGGGCCAAACGCGGAGGTCCGCCGCCGGCCGCGCAAGTGAGCGGTCGGAAAACAAATCGACAGACGCCCAAGTGCAACCTGCTTGCCACATCTCTGCGCCGCAGGAAGAAGCATATTACATAGAGAGATTGGGTCAAGTAAGTGTGTTTACTTAGCATCTTCATATATTGTTTGGTATGTGGTTGATACACTTCTTCGTGCGATGGGGCTAAGACCCGATCGCCAGCGGTGATCTTGTGTGGCTGGCAGCAGTTTCTGCTTGATCAAAAGCATCGAGAAACCTGGCGAGGATCTTTGCGCCCGATTCTGCCGGAAAATGATGGGGGCTTGGGACCAGGACTTAAACTCATGGAAAATGACAACTACGCTTCCAACGGGATTGTTGTTGGGGGGTTCTATGTTTCTTGGTGGCTCCCAGCCATCCCCTTAGCTTGTTAGCTTTTTAGCTTTTTACTGTTTAGTGGTAGTTTCCATTTACCCCACAACAGTTAAACCTTTAGCGCGGGATCTGCGGGCAGCCCAGGTTTGTCATGGCTCACTTGGCAAGAAGCCTAGGTGCCCAGTCCGGTGCATCTTCAAAGGCGTGGGAGTTGGCCTGCAGTGCTAAGGTAACCCTTTGGCGGTTTGGATCGGTAGTTTGAGGATTTGACCCCGTGGCGTTTGTAGAGGCTCTTGGGATTCCATGATATATGGAGTGAGCCAACAATTCCAAGAAGTGGGAACCCGCCCTCATCCAAATGGAAACGGCTTGTTTTTTTTTTTTCCTGGCAGGGAAGATGGTTGAGACCGTTGTTATTGTGAGAAGCATCCAAACTGTCAGCAAGTGTCGATTTCCTCAAACTCTGAATCTGCGGCCGCTTGACAGATTTGTTTGTTGGGTTTCTCACAGAAACATATCATATCATAACACGCAATTGCTATAGTTGTGACATATGACATGTTTTGTGTGTTCGATGTGCAACGTATACCCCCTTCCGACGCCGGAACAAAAACCGAACGGGTGCTTCTCCGGTTGGTTCAAAGGGAATCCAAAAGCACAACTGCACACTTGAAATGGGTAGCCCGCGAAAAGCCGTGATCATGAAACATGATAGTATGTTCAAAGTATGCAAACGTGTCCCAAAGCGTCAAAACAGAATGGACGGGAACAAACTTGGAATGAGCCCCTATGCATCTCCGCGTCCCAAGAATGACCTCCCTTGGTGTGAACGCACTGATTTGCATCTCGCCAAGGTGAACTACATGCAACTTCTACTATACACTCCTTCATTCTGATTCATTCCTACGCGAAATGCCTGAACTACAATCTACAATTTCAGGGTAGTTTGGATGCACCACCATCGCTCAACGAGAAACACATGTTTCACCTACGAAAGGTGATCACTTAGACGAAATCATTGAGGTATTTGGGCGCCGGAAGAGGTGGGGTGGACTTTGGGCCGTTGCCCGTTTGTCATGAATACCCTATCAACCTGTTGGATTAGAGTTCATTGTAACTGTTTTGCAAAAGTTATCAGGTGTTGGGTCCACAATGCCGTGGTCAGAATCCATGCTTTTGGTTGTTGCGGCTCGAGTCGTCCCTTCTCGGCTTCATTTTCGGAGGTTTTGAGCTTCGGCAAGCACCGGGGGCGCCGGGCTCGGCCGAACACGAGCGCACCCATATCTCAGAAGGCGGTAAGGGACCCTCAGGGATCATTTTGGGGTGACGCGTATGTTTCAAGGGGCCTGGAGACCTTTGTTTGTTGTTTTGGTTTGCTGTTTTGCGAGTTGGGATTGGTTCCGGTTGCTTCAGACTGAGGGCAAAAGAGAAGGAAACTCACTTCGGATCCACCATTTGGAGAACCCATACGCCACGGAGACCCAACTAGTGGTTTCATTAAGTTATATCCAGATTTACGAAGGGGATACTACGTAGTTGGGGGCCAGGAGAGACAAGTGGTTTTCAATCAGGTTCCGAGCACCTTGTGAACGGCTTCCCCTTCCCAACAAAAAATCAAGAGGCCATTGCAATTTGTCTTGCCATGTTACTAAGGGCTTACCCACTTCTCTTAAACAAGCATAAGCAAGCGACAGATCAAAGCTCGCTCAAGGCTCTTCACCTCTAAAGGGCCCAGGTATGAAGATACTTTAGCCCCTTTGACAAGCCATTTGCAAATCCAGAAAGGGTACTTAGACCCTTTAGGTACAGCATTGCTTGGTATTTGGGGCTGACTGGACGATGGCATGGGATCTAACCTTCGCGAAGATGTTTGGTTCGGGCAACCTTGTACAGCATGTTTTTCTGAGATAAACAGTAGCTGAACAATCAGTTTGTTCGATCTGCTTTTGGATCTTTGTAGTCAAGGCAACCTGGCCCTTAGGCACTTGAGGCACCTTGTACTTCAGCTGAGATGGGCTGCTGCACCCGAGGCTATCTGGACTTTCCATTAGTCTTCCCAAAGGTTGACCTTTCATTCCCAAATTATCCCAAATTATTATTATTATTATTATTATTATTTTCTTCGGGGGGGCATGCCGGATTGCTTTTGGTGCGAATCTCAGCATCGGTTGACGTTTGACCCGGAACCTCGCATGGAATCGACCCTGGAGGTTCTTATCCGATCCTGGACGATCTACCCTGCCCTCCCAACCTAAAAAACAAATGAAATCCGAAGCTGCAAATGCCCAGGTTGTGTGGTGAAATCCCGTGGATAGGTGCCAAGTTAGGATTCTGGAGCCTCAAAAGGTCGGCTTAGCCCCCTCATGAAGCGTCCAGCGATGTAATGACAAGGCTGAAAAGATGCTCCCAGATCTTGGGGATGTACTGTAACATCGGCGTCTCAGAGTTCTGGGAGGGCGAATGACCGATTTATACTTTCAGAAACCCACGGAAGATGGTCCCGCCAGCACTTTGGGTCGAATTGCCAAACTCAAACGGCACTTTGGGTGCCATTCGATAGGGTTTGTGAAGTTTGTACCATCTACTACCAAAGGCAAAAACTAAGGCTGGAATAGTTTCTTGATTGATTTGATTGGGCCGGGAAGTATATATTCCCCCCCCTAACAGGGACTCCTTAACAAGCTACCCTGCTAGTAATCCGACGCATCCCAGGTGCACATTCGCTGAGGTACGTGCACAAGATCCTGCATACTGTGCTGCTTGTCTTGGCGAGCTTTTTACCGAATGGGAAGCGTCGCTTTTTGTCTTGTGCACTCAATTCGAATGTTGGGACATTGAAACGCATGATGGGTGTGCCCGTTTTTGGGACCGGCTTTTGGGGTATTGGTTCAAAGGGAACCAAAAGGGAAACTCGCATTTTCGGGGCTGGCGCTATTGTAAGACACACCCATACTCATGAACATGTGCTCCGGGCCACGTGCGCGGAGGTATCCGAAACTGTTTGCGCAACGGGAGCTGTTTGCACATTCCTTGGAGAAGCTCCTTTGCCCGCCAATAATTGTGGAAGCGTGATTGCTTCAGCACAAGCTGCTGGAAGAAGGAGAAGCGGAAGGGCAGGAAAGTTGAATTGCTTTTGAGGATGGAAGGAACAAGCAATGCAAGCACACAGATGGCAAGCCCGGGGATAGGCGAGTGCCCCAAAAAGTTTTGTTGGCGGACTGATTCTTGAAGTGGGGTGCAGGGGAGAAACACGACTCGCGTTCCAGAAGGGCAGACCGGCGCTTGAGCTGGGGATGTTTGTCAATAATCCATGAAACATGTCCACACTTGATCTCACCTATTTGGCAGTGGGTCAAAACCAATGGTACCATTTTGGGGTAGGTGCACCCCCATTTTAGTCTATTTTACTGAGGATTGGGATGTTTACTGGGGGTACGGGATTTTGACCCATGGCCATTCCGTTATGTCCCGTATCTTCGGCCAAAGAGCAGCCTTTTGTGGGGGGCGCCTTAGCCGGCCAAGTAAACTGAGCATTTGCTTGAGGGTTTTCGGGTGGGGGATGCTGGTGGCGATGTTTGGGTTTGGCTTGCTCGAATGTCGACGCGGACAAGGCTCAGATTGGATGGTTGCTGGGCAGTTTGCGGCAAGATGGGTTTCAGCAGCAGAACTTCCACTTTGCAGGGCAACTGAGGGATCGACAACAGTTTTGCGAATTGTTTGTTCGAAATGTTTGAACAGGGAGAACCCCGCACCCTGATGCTCGGCACTTGGAGCTTGGGTTCGGCCTTTGTGTGAAGCAGCTGGGTGCTCTAGAAAAGCGCCAGTGATCGCAATCAAAGAGATTCACTGGCCTAACGTTGTATATAGCTGGGATTCCAGACTCTGGACTCGTCAATCAGAGCCTTAGCTGAGCCTTACAAGGTCCCCCACCTAGGTGCCCTTTCTCAGCCCTTTTTTGGTTGGGAGGGTTTTTCTACTAAAGTAGACTACAGAAAAAAAAAGGAAAAACATGAAAAATAAGACAAACAAAACACATTCGGGTACCCTTATTCTAACCACTCTACTGGAGGACCTAGCTTAGCTTTTGTCTATGAAGGCAAGAAAATACGACACGCACACCGTGAAAGCTGCACCTTGCGACAGTCACAGCCACAAATGGCTGCGGCCGCCCTTTTGCTTCTGTCTATGCTACTGGTTGCCTAGGGCTCCTTAAAAGATACATGTTGCAACCATTTGAAACATGGCTTTTTCCACCAAAATAAGGGGACACCTCCATTTACAAGGCAATGCTCAGGTGTATAATGTAAGGATCCCTGTTGCCCCGTAGCAGGTGTTGTTTCTGACTCGGTTCAACTCGCACTGTGTGGCGAGCTCATTACAAACACGGGGCGAGCGATCCCGGGAGTACATGATGAGGTCTGAAGGCTCTTGACGTGTCGATTCCAGAATTTCCAGTTAGACGAGTGCGCCTTTTGCTTGGTTTTGATTCTAGTTGCGTTCTCATAAGTTGACCTGGGGGATTAATGGAGGTGCATCGCCATATTACCCTCTTGGTGCGTTGCATCGCACGGATGGCGCCCAACTTTTGCCCTGCGCCATGTTTGCCCGCCCAAGGCTTGGGCGATCAATCTGACTAAGCCGTCCTCCGCTGGAACCTCAGCGATGTGCCGCCAAGTGCAAGGCTACTGCGAGGTTCGGTCAAAGTATCCTAGCTCCGCTATGGGTCACTTGAGCGCCACCAAACTGGAGCAACAAACCACTCGCTTTTTTTGACTCGCCTTTTTGGTGGCCTATTTCGACTCCGGCTCATATGGATTTATCCGCAAATATGATATGGAACAACGAACTTGGGCTTTGGTTGGTTGATGTCCCTTTCGACCAAACCCGCTTTGGGTGCCCAGCCCAACAAAACATTATATATATATATATATATATATTTAGGGTCAACCATCATGTTTGTGTTGGGCGGGGGGGGGGGAATCCCCTGTCTTGACACAGCGACTCATGGCCATGCTGGGTCGATCTTGCACTCGCGGGTCTCAAGGTTCCTGACAGCATCAAGATATCTATGGCTAGGGGCGTTTTGGTCAGTTCCGCCATGACTGACTTCTGGTCCTTTTGACTTTGGGAATGGAAAACCTATTCACCTTGCTTGCCCAATTGACCTTGTGTAACCTGTGACTACCCCACGATGGTCAGGCTTGCCCCAATTGCAACATCCTTAAACCGCTGTTGTTTACACAGCCTCCGGTGGTTGTTTACGCCCATTTTTCCCGTTCCTAGGCTTCCCATCTTGCCTCCGCTTGCAAGATTGCAAGGCCCTGGCGGACTTCGTGAGCTACCTGCGCGAGGAGGGGTTGGGGGCCTAGGTCCTCGGTGGAGCGAGCCACCCCAAGCATGGCGCTGGTCTTTGGGCGCCCAAAGCGCCTGGGATTGTTTGGAGACAAATTTGGCTTTCCTCTAGTGGTACCTCCCCGTTCTTCCCAGGGATCCTTCTTAGAAATCCTCCAGAAGCGCGGGGAAAACGGCTGGCTTTCGAAAAGAACGATGGTTGAAAAGAATGGGGAACCAACCCCTAGATTTCCCGCGCTTTTCAATTCATGAACCAATGGTTAGACTTTTGAGGGAACTGAAAGGGGCTCCAAAGTAGAAGATCCAACTTGCCCCATGGATTTGGCTATGTGCAACCCACGAAGCAATTCTGCGTAGTCCTTCTCAAATCCCTGTGAGCGGATCCACCCTGCATCTGAAAGGATCCCCTCTCTACTCAACCAGGGGCGGGGCGAGTCTTAAGCTCTGAAGGCTGAAAGCAGGAAATCAATCCTGGGGCCCTCCTTTGGGAGGATTTACACCAGGAACTACGAATAGAATAGGGTGGTTAGCTACGTAGGGGACCAGGGCAAGCCTAGAATTGCCTTTGGGCATGTGACGCTTTTCCGCTGTTTTTGCCAGAAACTGATTGAACAGTCCATGGGCCATCCATCTAGAGACAGCCACTTAGTCAAGGCTTCACAAGGTCACCTTTTCCTTGTTGTTCAACCCTTTGCATTGAATTGAAAAGGTGTGCAAATAGCCACTGATTGGGACTGGAGTTGTTTTGCCCATTCAGCACATTCTACATCATCCACTTCACAAGCTCGCGAAAACAAAAGAAAACCAAAGAACGCTAAGAAGAATCGAGAAAACCGACAAACCCCAAAAACACAATTCTGAGGAGAATCTTTGGTTTGGCTCATTTGTTGTGGTTTTTGGTTTTTGGTTCTCGAGCTTTTTTGTTTTCTTCGTTTTAGTAATTCCTCAAACACCAAAAACACTCAGCGCTTTTTTGCTTTTCTGGGCCATCCACCCGAAAAACCCAAGAAGTGATGGCTTTTGTTGTTTGATGAACAACCAACCTTTTGCAGTTGGAAACGCTGCATGTTGCATGGTGTTTCTTTTGACACGCACCAAAATATGCATGTCGTGCTGGAGAATTGCATGTTGTATGACAATGTTGCAGCTTAAACATGGACCATTTTTATTCCGCAATTACTTGGGTTAAAACCCAAGAAGGCAGCTGAAAGAGATGGAAAGCTATTTTTAGGGCTAATCACACCTGAGAATACTTGACAGGAAGTACTGTAGGCCCTGCACTATTCATTTATGTCAGTTAGCTTTATTCATCCAATTCCTTGGGTTCAAAATTCAGGGCTTCAGAATTGACATATTTGATGGATGGAAATGGCCCCGAATGTCCTTATTTTTAAGAGGCCCCCTTTAAGATGTTCAGATAGCACCAGGGCTTGACCCTGGGGCCTAAGAACCGCATGTTTTCGCCAAGAAGTTGAATCGGCTCTACTCCAGTGTCTAGGATCCCAACGAAAAAGCTCCATGCCACTGACCGGTGTTCAAGTAGCTCAACTCACCAAACATCTGCTCACATGCAAATGTTTGTGTTTTTGTTGGGGGGCTACATATCTTGAATTTAACGGGTCCAATGTAAACTGGAACACATGAAGAATACGGGGCCTATTTTTAGCCAATTTACCCAACACATCCAACTCACTCAACCCATTCAGCTTGCATGCTTGTTTATTGAAGATGTTGAGCATAATGTATGTCTTGCAGCGTTTATCCATCGATTTCCTTCTATTGACTCATGAAACCAAAGAAGGGCTTTCGCGACCAAACGCATAGGGGCCCTTTGCAGGGTTGGTGGTTCGAAGAGAACAATGCTGAGTATAGCATTATGTGGTTCATCTCCGCTAATGTGTGTGCAAAACCCTTGCAATGACTCAACGGTGATAGAATGGGATGATTGACTGTATCAATCCCAAACCCATGTCTCCAAGAATTTCTGCAACGCAAACAGTTTCAAGGTAAAAAGTCACTTCCCATGTAGAACATGCCATTTTTGCCGTACACCACAAAAAAAGCAATTTTTGCCACGTTGAGCCTGTATGACTCATGCGCCAGTACCCAATGCGGTATTTGGCTCAAGCAATTCAGTCCGTCGACTAACCCTCGCAATCTCGTCGTCGGGGCACCGTCGGCAAAATTGGTGCCGTGCCCGAGCGCTTTGGTCGGGGTGTTTGGTTGGGATTGTTGCGTTTGCCTTGCGCCGGTTGCGTGCTGCTTGCGCTACGGCTTGCGCTCGCTGCGCTCGCTTGCTGAGTTCGCGCGCTGGGTGTTGGTGCTTTGCTGGTGCTGGCTTGCTGCTGCTGGTTGGGTTCTTTACTTGTTGTAAACTGGTCGCCATTTTCGTTTGCATGTTGTGCCAACTGAGGGCCGCTCTGCCCTTTGGGGCTGGGGACTTGAACTGTGTCAGCCTTTTGGGCTTGGTTGGGCCTGTTTATTCCTCCCCGAAACGCTGTTGCACAGGTTATCAGCCGTAGGCCTCGTCCTCGGTTGGCGCCGCGAACCCCTGTTTGACAACCCTGCAGGTACCAATGCTTCCCGCTAGGTACTTGTCATCCTCATGGCGGCTAACGATCGGCCCGTTGTTGTTACTGATAGGTGGGTTTGGGATGCTGTTTGTAGCGACACCCAAACCCAGATCGACCTATTTTCTCTGGGCCTGACCCAGGTGATGAGCATTAGCATAGCGACGTGCAATCTTCAGGTAGATCGAGTGCCAATCGCACTTCATATTTTCGGTCAGTGAGAGCGGGGCTATTTGTCCCAGCTCTGAGTTTTGGTGCTGATGATGGACGAGGGCAAGCCCTGGCTGACGGAAGTGTTTGAGCAGACCAAGGGTGGCGAGCTGGAGGACCTGAACCAGATCATGGACCATGACATTTACAAGAATAACTCCGCCGCTGGACAGTCCGAATTCCAGGTCCGCAACCTAATATGGTGGGCGTGCAAAGAAGCCTGGGTCTGTCGGAGGACTGACACACGCTTCCTCATAGGCCAGTTTTCTTCTGTGTGCAACAAGATACTTCCGGACAGGCTGTCTGAGCAGGCGTTGCAGAACCTGCTCTTGGAGGACCCTCCCTACTTTCACGACTTGACCTACGACGAGATAGTCCAGGCAGCTGCCCATTTGGCGGGTGTGCGCAATGGAGCTTGTAACCAAGGGTTACCATTTCCTTCAAGGATTGACTGAGATAGTGGGTTATTGTTGCAGGGCAGGGTATGAAAAAGCGTCGTTGCTGAGCAAGGATAAGACGCAGCCTTTGCAATTGATGTCTTCGAGAAGGTTGTGGTGCACCTTTTGCAAAGGGCTGGGGTGTCTCCCGAGCAGTAGGAGCGCTTGCCTGGGAAGCGGTAGGCTTGTGGGCGCCTGGTGCTGCCTTCGCCGAGTTGCTGCAGAAGGCTGGACTAAGCCTGTTGCTTTCGAGGTTTCCAGGCGTGCGCAGTGCTTTGAGCTTTTCCGGACCGTACTTTAAGGCTTATCAAATTCTTGCCCGTTTTGCTGGGAGACACGTCGCGCCCAACGGAGGCAGTACCGGAGCTCATTGACCCAGCGGGCGCCAGACACGCTGAAAAGGAGTGCTGGCAAGGTCACATTCGACAACTTGCTGCAGCAGGCAATGCTTCGAAATGAGCATTCGCCGGGCGAGACAGGGAGACTACCTCGGCATGCCTGCTTGCCACACATCGCATCACACGGGTTGGCGCACAGCGCGGCAGTCCTGATCAGCCATGATGACTATGATGAGGATGATATGACGAGGATGATGACGACATGCGGCTTTGCACCCGGATGATGATTATGATGGTGATGATGATGATGACCATCATGATGATAACCACCATGATGATGACTACGCTGAGGATCATCATGATGATGACTATGATGAGTTTGAACTATCTTCGGAGCACCCCTTGTGTCGATGATGATGATGATGATGATGACGATGATGATGATCACCACAATGGTGATTTTGAAACAGATTTATCACCACCCTTCCCGCGGGCCCCTTTTTGCAAGGGGTCAGCGGATTTGTTAGCATCCTATCAAGAGGTATGCATGCGCTGTCCCACCCACCCAGCCTAACGCTAACCAGAATTGCGCAACTGCCGAACCGGTACTGAACAAATAGATGCCTGCCGACCACCTACTGCCGTGCTAACTTAAGGTGTGCCTGCGAAACAAGTCCGATGTTGATTGTGAGTTCATATATCTGAGATTTGATGCCAACTGCAAGATGTAGTTTCAGTTATGGCTGCCTTTCAGGTTTGACTTGAAAGGGGGTAAATTCAGAAGGATCCCTAAAAACAAACACAGGTATGATTCTGGTAGTTCACTTTGGATTTGAGGTTCAGGCCAGTTGCTACACCGACCAGAGCTCGGGCCGAAGGCGCTCCGTGCATTGGGCCTGGTGTTTTCTTCCGCCAGATTTGACGGCAGGCTGTCCTTTTTGCCTCGTGCGAAACCGCCCTAGTGTTTCAGGTTTCAGGAAAGCACAAAGAACTGGCAGTTTGGTTGATCGATGCTTTCCACTGGTTTGAGGTTGCGTGTGACTGTCATCGAAACTGTCTTTGGGTGCAGGGCATGCGCCGACGCCGATGAACGGACACTGGTGTCTCTCATAGCGTTGTTTTTTCGGCAAGTATTGCCTCTGTCCATTCGAGCTGGTTTTGCCTTCACTTGCTGTCCACCCTGGGCACATGGCCTCGCCAAATTTCTGGGGCTCCCCGCCAGTTCCCAGGCAGAACTGGAACATCGGCGGTTTTCTGAGTTCATAGGATTCCAAACTGTCCCCAACCCTAAAACCCCCACCTCCAGTGCTCTTCTTTCCTGTTCATGGTTGTTGTTGGGAAAACATTTTGCATTTTTGCTTATTGTGGTTTAGTGGTTGAAATCCCCACTCAACTGCTAAAATTTGGTTTTTTGCTCCCCTTCCAACGTCAACCGAGTGTTTTTGGAGGGGTGAACCCGAGATGTTCTGCTACCCAGTTCCTCCAAAAGGCCCAAAAGAGCCCTAAGGCCCTTGGAGGAAACGAGTGGAAACCGAAACCGGGTGCAGGTGAGACCAGTTGGGCTCCGACGCAGGCAGAGTTCAAAGCAGGGGGGGATGGCAAAGCGGACTGCTGTGGGATTTTTCCAAAAATGCTGAACCCCCTTCGTGGTTGGCATTAAAAGGGAAACCAACCATCTCGGAGGAGTTTCTATGTTCCTTGCCCACGTCACTGTGGATGCACAAACTCCTCCATCCGGGAGCCCATGTGCTGAACACCCAAGAGCTGCACGGAAAGGTCTACTTTCCACAATCACAGTTAGCTTGTTTTGGACTCCCTGAAAGTGGCGCTGGCATAGAGCCGGCCACGGAATTCATCCACTTTTTAGGAATGCTGCAACTGCCTGTTTGCCCTGGGAAACGGGGATGAATAGATCTTCAAACAATCCGGCGCAAGGGTCCAAAATAACGCCATATGCTTGACGACCACCCATTTGAAGAACCAGCAAATGATGAATGATGAATTGTTCAATTGGGGATGTGCCTATTATCATTCATTGAGTTGATCTAGCTGCTTGAATAAGTCTTCATCACCATTACGCCATCAACGCAAGGTATGTGGCCAGAGAGTTATGGTGATGGATCCGACGATGGCCCTTTGGAGAGGTCCCATTGTGGTTGAAAGGGGTTGAAAGGGGCGAAACGGGGTTAAAAGGGGTTGAGCATCCGCAAATGGTTTTGGAGGGCTTTTCAGGGGTTAATCTTACGTACATTTGAGGCCTGTACTCCTCCCAATCAACACGTGCATCGTTGGGCTTTCATCATTGGGTTGGTAAGTTCCACCCACTTGGCCCTCTTGATTGCACCCAGTCCTATTCAAAGGATGTACGTCCGCCAAATTCAATACCACCTGTACCAGCTGCCAGCTGTTTCAAAGTTTTTTTGTTTTGCCTGCAGTGGGTGAGTTTAGGTGGTGTATCCTTTCACCCCTGTTTACCTCTCTCGCAAGGGGCCAATTGGACTCGTAGGCGCACTCGATGGCCTTCAGAGGCATCGAGCAAGTGCCAGAGTTACGGCGAGACTCTGAAGTTCAAGGCCAATGCGGGGATCAAGCCGCTGTCTCGCTCACATCCTGGCATGAGATCTCAGCTCCTGCAAGCTTTTGCTCATCCAGGCACGCCGATTCCCAGTTCAAGACAGGCAGCGGCTTTTCACGGCAGGCTTTCATGCAACCGCATCCAGCGCAGCCGCTGCATCCGTCGGGCAACTTTTGGCCAGCAGAAGCACCTATCCATGGCTCCCACTCCGATTCCCAGTTTGCAGCCTCTTCATGGGGTGGCCACTTTTCACAGCAACCATCCACGCAGCCTGCCTCGCAGTTTGCAACACATTTGTCGAGCAACTTTGTGCCAGCTGAAGAGCCCGTCCATGGCGCCGACTGCCAGTTTACAGCATGGTCGTTTGGCGCCTGCTCGTCACAGCAGCAGCCAGCCACACAGCCTGCCTCGCAGTTTGCAACACATGTGTCGGGCAGCTGTTTGCCAGCAGAAGCGCGCAACCACGGCACAGACTACCAGTTTGGAGCATGCCCGTCTGGCGGCTGCTTTTCACAGCAGCCATCCACACAACCTGGCCCTCCCTTTGGCAACTTCTTGCCGGCAGAAACGCCCCGACATTTTGAAGGCTCGATTCAACGTACTGCACCTCCTTCACACTTTTGCTTAGAGTCACGACGGCCTTCCGACTCCCAGCCTGCAAGATCTGGTGGTTTTCCTCGCTCGAGCCGGCTGGAGCCCTATGGGCGGTCGACTTCCAGGCTGGCATCGTGGCTTCGGAGCCGGGCAGACATGGATCCCCATAGGGTCAAAGGCTCGGTGTAATCTAAGTCCAGTGATCCGAATTCCCTTCGCGCCCTCAAGATCAACCAGTGGTCTGGGGCTGGGAATTCACCAGAGCCGAAGTTCAAGGTGGCGCCTGAAGATGGGAAGCACAGTCATTGGGAGGTCCTGGTGGAGGGTTTACTCAAGGATTTCTGGGCGCGATGAATAAAAATCATGCATGTTGAGTAATTCCTAAAAGGAAAGCAACAGCACACATGTTCCACACATGGGGTATTGCTGGCCCCCACATGAACATGGTGGACTTTCCCCGTTTAGTGAGGAAAGCTATGTTGGTTGTTTGCACTACTGGTCAATTCATGAAAAGGACATTTGGATCAACCCCCACATCATTTGACGTGGATTCATGCCTAATGAGAAGATTGCGAATGTCCGCTTCTCCTCGGGGCCTTGTCGGGTCCCCAAAAGTTTTCTGAGAAAGGAGGATCATTTCCCCAAGCTCCACTTGCTGCAGGGGGGTCGGTTTGGCCAATCCAGTTTAGATACTCGCTTTCTTTCCCAAGTTGTAGGGAGTTCGCTGGGCGGGGTTTAGGGCCTTTAGTTTCTGTTCCTTGGGTCAGCTGGTGGTCCCCAACTTGTGTGGTTCCTGACATGTCCCATTTGTGGAATCGGGGTTCCGTGCCAAGGGTGCCTTCAAAGGGTGATGGTGTCATTTGCCCTCAGTGAACGGTAGCTTCCAACATAACTCTGTAGCAAAGTCGTGGACACTCCGATCAAAGATACCCAAGACTAGCATCCGGGCGCCCCGTCACTTGGCGAAGGACACCCTCGTCACTTGGCAAGAATGATACTGGTACTACTAAGTCTAGATGTAACCCACCCCGCTGTAGTCGTATCTCGGATTTTCCCAATTCTTGGGCTCACCATTGTAGTAAGCTGGCCAGAGCTTGTTGATCCTCACCATTTTTGTTAGTATGCCCAATTCCCAGATTCTCCAACTGGGTTTCTTAAGGCAGGCCTCGAGCGGATAGCAAAGCCACCGCCGCCAGCGCTTTCCGCTTGCCAGTCCGATGACAGGCGGTGGCCTCAGTGACAAAGTCACTCGCTGAAGGCATCCAGAAAATCCAACCCACGAGCAGCATGGTTTTGAATGCAACCCCGGCTTTTCGTCACATGAACTCCTATCATTGCGAAAACCATTGCCTTAGGGAAAGCTGCTCCGCTAAACGAAAGAAGCATGTTGTCTTTATCTAACATTTGAACACACCGGTAGTCTTTCTGCGCCCTCTTGCACAAATGTACCATGGTTCCCGCCGGCAAGAGTTGCTTTCATTGCGAGAGGCTCCCAGCTACCAACAGGTGCCGTGACCACTAGTCCTCGATAGTCCTCGAGTTGACCGGGGGACCCTTCGGCATGGTGTGCCCATTGGAAGACGCAAGTTCGATTGCCAACATGACCCGGAGTTTTGTTTCGTGGTTTGAGTATATTATAGGTTTCCACGACTTTTGTTATCTCTGTTTTTTGGTTGGTTTTCAACACTACAGGGCCCCATGGTAGCCCCTTCAGCAAATCTCACACCCAAACCCAAATCGGGGGTCGCTATGTTGAGCGAGACACACCCATTTGTGCCATGGTCAAAACACCCGTTCACTTGGGGCAAGTGGAGATGGTTATCAACCCTTTAGTTGCAACCATAATTGCTCTCGGCGGCTGACCTTAAGGCATGCATCCCAAATGGGATGTGGGTCAGCCAAGCATGCAGCTCCCGACATTATTTTTTTTTCCGTGAGCTCTAAAGCAAGCTTACCTATGATTACCCCGAGGATTCCCTTATGTCAGGTTAGGTTGATATGGAAGTTTGCCTAGATGTAACTGCAACTTGACCACGACGAGCATTGCCAAGCCGTTTTGACCCTGGCCCGTGCCAAGGCAAGGGCAATCGTCGCCCAGATCGCTTCCACGACATCCGGAAATGGGCTCGAAACTCATTGGGCACGGCTATGTTGCTCGCTCATGTCATCAAGCTGCATGAACTGCTGCAAGCCTTCGCTAAGCAGCTCATCGCCGCAATGAGCCGAGTCGGCTACGTCTTCAGGTCGGAGCCCCTGTGGAAGAACCGAGTGCCTTCCAGACAGGAAGCCCACTATCATGGGGTTAGCGTGGCCCGTCCTGGATGGATCCGACAACATGCTCTTATAGTACTCATATGTTCAAGCCACGGTACAGGGAACCAAGCCCAGTTTCTCCAGTTCGAACCTTCAATACAACCTATTTGCTAAGTCAGCTAAACATCCACAAATATAGACCTTTTGCTCAGCTGTGAACTTGTCCAACTCACCGAGAAGACATAGCGTGGCGAAAGGTATGGTACACGTAAAGACAAGAGTTTAATTCCCCTTTGGTTTCTCCTATCAACCACGTTACTCGGAGTTTGTCTCTTGGTGTCGAATGATAGCCTGGAAAAGCATAATTTGCCGATGATTTGATGAGCCAATACGCACTAGAGTAAGTTTGCTTTAGATAGCTGCATCATGTGTTCGACCAGATCCTATCAGTCATACTGCCTCATGTTGCTGATGAGGTGAGATGGGATATCTCTGGCACCAACGGCATCGGTCATTTTGTCAAGGTAGCTTTGTGTTGCCAGGCCATCGAGGTGTCAACTGTTTTTAGGGGACCCCCCGAAGGAAGGCCACTGGAGGGCTGTGATCATCGACTCATCGATCCAAGTGCTCATGAGCCATGTCATGAGCATGTCTCGGGTGAGTTTTCCGAATTGAACCGCATGCAACTCGGAGTTGGCAAGATGCTGTCCCTATACTTTTTGTGGGAGAGATGTGTTTGCAACCTTTGGTAGTTGGTAGTTGTCGTTAATCAACCCCAGTTTATTGATCGGGGGGTGTTCCCCAGTGACGATTCCCCACTGAGTGCCCCACCCAATGAGAACCGGCAGACCCAAATACGTGAGGTTCCGCCCCAACTGAGATCTGGTGAATCTGGCCCAGTAGGCTGGAATGCAGCGGACCCGAGAAGCCATAGGGTGTGTCGTTTTCAGAGGATACCCTTTTTTGGGCGTGTTTTAAAGGGACACCAAACGGAAACCGGCCCTCTGAGGCTTCCCTCAAAAGACAAGCTCATAGGGAAATAGGCGAGGTTAGAGTTTGCGGCTACCAAGATCCAGAAGGTGCCCTTCAGATGACTTGCAGGGAGCCAAGGGATGGATGCACAGGGACTGGGAAACCATGTAGTTAGCTTTAGAGGTAGCTTATTTTCCTTGTGGTGGTTTTCATATCACCTTTTGGCTGCTTCCGCGGTGCGATGTTGACAGGCTAGGATGGAATTGTGTTTGCTGTTTGCAATTCAAGGGACCTTCTGGAGATATTTGGCTGACGAGAAGCCTGTGCACCAGGTGTGGGTGTCCTGCAAATGGAGAAGGACATCCTGTTTGGGACGCTCGAAGGGAAGCAAAGAGGGCACTGTTGCCATTGGCTCTATTTCGCACGCCACCCAGTGTCATGAAGTTTGGTTAGTCCTGAAGCCCTGAAGTTCCTCTCGGAGAGATCAGCCATGTTACTCCCTTGATTGGCTCGGAGGACCCTCCAACCTGGACAACGATAGCGATGCACACCCCTGAAGGACCCTATGGTTCACTCTCTGCACCTGGACTTTAAATTTTCTGGGAAGACCATTTTAGTGAAAACGAACAGTTTGGACTTTTGTCTGGCCAATGCACTCAGGAAGTGAGATGGATGCAGACTTCTCCGCCCTAAAAGCAATCCAGCAAAGGCCGCCAAAAGGTTCGAGGAACTCGAAAGCCCGGCGCTGAGGCAGCGAGCAGTGATGAGCCATAAGGAACTTCGCATCGCGTCTGAACGAGCACCTGCCCACTACGGGAGGTGCCTAGGATTTCACCGAGCGGTACCCGTTTTTTCCTTCTGGGGGTTCAGACAGGGAAAAGGCAGTGCAGATTTGTCGCCCGGTGCATCGAGTCACCGCTCTCTGCAGCTTGCGACCAAAGGGCCGTGCCAGTTTCACCATATCCCCAACCCCTATGGGAGGGGGAGGGGAAAAAGGTCACACCAAGCCTACGAGACCTTCCGATTCCACACATGTTTCGGAGCTCGGAGGCCATCTTCGACCGGGGGATGAGCAGTTGTGAGAGGGGACGAAAGAAACAGAGATGTCTTCTGAAGAAAGTCGATGTCTTCGGTTCCCAGCCACAGACTTGTGCCTATTGGAGTTTAGAAGGATAATGTTAACCCCGGATTAAGAAACCCCTGGTTGATTAATAGGGGGTGGGAACAACCCCCTAGTAATGGCACGGGTTTATTAATCCTGGGTCAACATTCCTAGAGATATCCTATGTTTGTTGCCTTGGAATTTGCAGACACTTGCCCATTGGGCGGTGTGTTCTTCGACGCGCCGCCGCTGGTTCCCAGGGAGCGAAACGCGCTTTGGGTCGAAGGGCCTTTCAGTGCGGGAACTGGAAGGACTGACGACAAAAAGTCCAGGCGATGTTCATCGCAGATGTGTTTTTTTGGTTATGATGTTTCCTTATTTGAGTGAAGCCCAAGCATGCTTCCAACTGTTCCCGGCCAGTCAAGCGTGCAGGTCTGGTTTGGGTGTGAAACTAGTTGCGGATCCACCGTGAAAATTAGAAAGTGCAGACCTATGTGTTGGCCTTGAACTGCTTCAGCTCCAGCCACGCTTGCACCTGGCAACGCATTCTAGTTCCTAACCAGGGAAGCAACCTGGCTGTGGGTCAACACCAATTGTGCCATTTTCGGGTACACCCATTTTAGTCTGTTTTAGTGGGGATTCGGATGTTCACAGGGGGTACGGGCTTTCGACCCATGGTACAAGCACTACGGCGGCTTCCGCTACACATCACCGCTTCCTTGGTTGGGTTGCCAGGGCGCCGCTGTGTGAGGTGCGGTTTTTTCAAGCTCCGCCGCTACGAGCCAGATGCAGAAGAGCGGCGAGCTGAGAAAAGGAGCAGATGGCTGACCAAAGCTATGGACACAGCTATGGCCCAGACGCGTGGAGGGGGGGAGTCATACCGACTCTTTAGGTGTCTTGAGTCTTGGAAAGCATACTATGGTGTCTTTCCCTCAGGTAAATGCACCTAAGATAACGCTGCGGTCTTTGCTGATTCTTATTATTGAAACGGGCATCCCTATGATTGCCTGGTTCGGATCTTGGGAAGGAGACTAAGTTTATGAGTTATCCCCTCCCCAGGCAATGTGCGGGCGGGTAGGGCCTTTTTCCAGTGGGATTTTGAGCCCTTTGCTGACTGCTCTCGCTTTCAAAGCTGCGGCGAAAGTTCTTTTGCAATCGCTGCCAAATGATTTGGAGGTGTGAGCAACTTACCAAATTGTTGGTCACCCAGAATGAGTGTTGGGAGGACATAGTGGGGAATCACCAAATTCCCCCATCAAGCTCCAGGGCCAATTCTGTTCATGTCGTTGAAATGACTCTCTGCAGCCCATCGAAAGCAAGCCAATGCCCCTTTCGGGTCCAGAAGCAGACATATTTTTTTTCCAAGCATAGACAGGCTTTGTGCGGCCACTTCCATTCTTTCTTGTTGCGGGAGACCGGCGATGTCCACATCTTCTAGACTTCCAGTAGGCTACAGCCAAGGGGTGCGGAACCGCTGCCGTAGCGAACCACGGCAAACAAACATCGAAGCTAAAACAGAGGGTGAGGCACAGACTTCGAATCCGCGGCTTTGGCTTTTCCATCAGTTTCCGGCCTTCAGGGTTCGGATAGATAGACATATGGCTGAAAGTTAAGATGGACTCCTCGAAGATTTGGACCCCCTCTTTCCAAAGACTCAGTTGTTCAGTGGCACCCTTTTTCCCTTTTTTTGGGTTGCTGCCCCACTAAAAATGGTCTTCCCCAAAAAGGGTTCCCTTTTTTTCCATGGTCACTGAACAACTGGGAAGAGGCCCCCAGGGACCACAAGATTGTTTTGCCTGATTCAGCCAGGCAATCTATGCTTCTGCGCCTGCCCAGCGGTCTCTCGCCGCCACCTGAGGGGAAAGAAGGAGTTCAGTACGTGGGGTCTCAGCGATTCTATACCTAGGTCCCCTAGTAGTGCCCTTTTGCCCTTGTTTGGTTGGGAGGGTTCAACCCTACTAAAATAGACTGCAGAAAAAAGGAACGGTATCCTTATTCTAAGCTCTCTGCTGGAGGACCTAGCCTTTCTAGAGTGTGATTCCCCATTGGTTTCAAGCACCGTTCTTCTCAAAACCCGGCCGTGTTCCCTGGGGTTGTTGAAGCTTTTTTAGCAAACGAACGATACTGGGCGTTCTCCTATTTTGATGCAAGCCCAAATGGGCACGATATGTTAAATGTTGACACCACGGACCGCTTTAAACGGTCGGTGTCAGAATGTGCGTTTCTGATTGTAGCCGCGTGGGTTTTGACGGACGGCATATCACCAACGAGAGGGAGGCATCTAGGATCAGGTGGGTTTTCAGGTGCAGACACACGGGCTGTTGTTCAGACTACCTTCTTGGACTGAATAAAGTATGGGTTGTTTCCAGCGAAAAAAAACCCAACATGGGCGGTTCCCTTTCGGTTACACCCCAAAGAGGAGTCCCTCAGACAAGAAAGTGCTTCCAGTTTCCTCTTGGAGGTCTCCCAAGCTCATAGAAACTGAGGCAGAACCAGCTCTTCCAGTACATGGCCCATATCGTCAAGGCGGGTTGGCTGAGGCTTCGAACGAGCGAGGTCCGTTCAAACCCCGCTGTGACCAGCTCCTTCGGCTGGAGTTTCTAACTTGTTTTTTGACAGGACCCCTCAATGTTCAGCTGCGCCGTACGCGTCTGAAAAGTGTGTGCAGTCCTGCCCGGGGGCGCCAAGGCCGCTCGCTTCGGCTGTGTATCGGGCATGGCTAGCGCTGTATACGCTGTCGCTGGCAACGCGGAAGTCATCGCTTGCTGCTGCTGGCCCCTTGCCTTTGCACTTGCACGGCGTGCAGATTTCAGACATGGCTGTGGGTCAAAACCAGTGGTACAATTTTGAGGTAGGTGCACCACCCATTTTACTCTATTTTAGTGGCGATTGGGATGTTCACTAAGGGTACGGGATTTTGACCCATGGCCACATAGGATACATTCCCTTTCAGGCCTCGAAAAGGCTTGCACACAGTGCAAGAACTTCGAGCCCATGCCTGTCGCAGCTGGGCACTGTGCCGAGGCCTCAAAAATTGGGGCCCCTTGTACATGAGTGGTCCCAAGCAACGCCTCATCTGTTATCGGTCTGGCCATCCGCGTTCTGTTTTCTGCAGAGGTCTCTTGGGGCGGCTTTGAATGGATCGTGCTTCGCGTTCCCGGCGGTCCGGTCATGTTGCGCATGTTGCACTTTGCTTCGGGATCCCGTGCTCAATGCTCCTCGAACTCGGGGAGTTTCTGTGCCGATCCGGTTCAGCACTGGGATTTGGTCACGCTTCAACCAGGGATGGGCTCAAAGAATCAAAGATTCTGTCAGCCGAGGGACAAAAGAGCAAACTGCTTGATGGGCAAACTCTGCGTAACTCTTCGATGTCTGGCTTGGCTGGTGTGACCTGGTTGTTGGAAAACATGTTTCACATTTTCGCTTAATTGTGGCTTAGTGGTTGAAAATCAACCACTGAACTGCTAAGATGTTTCATTTTTTTGCTCCCCTTCCAACGTCAACCAAGTTGAATGTTGGAAAGAAGTCAGCTGCCCAAAGGCTTGAGAGCTTCAGCTGCGTGGATGGCCCAGACCTCTAGAGGTGCCTCTCTTTTTTTGAACACAAATGTTTTCTTGGGTGCTTCCCATTAAAACTGACGACTGTACCAAAAAAATCGGGTTCTGGGACGGCTTCAAGATGGTCACTTTCCACTGGGCTAATGTGGCGTCCTGAGGTGGTGGAGTTGGGACCTCTAAGCCAAGACATTCTACTCCTCACTTTGGCATGTTTGGTTATATGAATATATATATATAGATGATCTGATTTGGAGACAGCTAGGGACTTTGTATACTGTACTGTGGGTTGCATGTGTTGATCGATTGTTTCGCAAGCCTATTAGGTAAACGGCGACCTCACAAAGGTTTGAGTTTGCGCTCAACTTCACCAATGATAAAGTGTCTTGTAGGAATAGTGGGAAGCCTTTGATTTGGGTCGGAGAATTGTACTTGTGCCAGCACTATGCTTCTTTGTATGGTTTTC